GTGTTCCATTCTATGCATCCAATGAAGTGGGCTGTAGCCCACGAAAGCTTATGCTGCAATGTGGAATTGTTTTTAACTATTGTGTGGACAGCATGTGCAATTTTATTTTAATCCATTGAAGTTGTTTTGATCTTGCAGGTGCATAATGTACAATAAATGACTTCCAATGGGATTTGTGCTTCTAGATCACTTGGATGCTTTTGAAAATTCCACCCTTTGCCTTTTCACACTTTCCTTTTTCCTGTGTCATAAATTGAGTAGAAAGTGTCTGCTTGAATTTTGAATTACGGTACCTGTTTTTGGATAGTTAGTGTTAAATTGGTTTAGTGTTCAGTTTAGTAGTTACTGCACTTATCATAATTTTGTATATCTGGCTGTTTATTTGATTACTATGATGGATAACAAATTTCTGTAGCATCCAAATGCATCATAAAGATACCAATACATAAAACAAATACTATTTCACTGGGTAGTAAAAGTAGATTATATTAGTCAAACACCAGCCCCTGAAAAAGCAATTATTAAAATTTCCACAGTAAACATTGCTAGTAAGTTTGTAAACACCCATTAAAATTATTTCATGGGAAAAATAAGGTAAGAGTCATATATTTATTTTAGTTCTCCCTTATTTTCACACCTGATTGTGCTAGAATACAGTCATGCCATGCTGAGAGAAGCCATACGAGCACTCAATCCACCAGGCCATATGCCTTCTTTAAGAGAGGAGGAATCTATTTTCTCAGAATATTAGTATAAAACTTGTATTTATGCATAAAGTAATTCTCCAGTTTCTCCTAATACACAAGCATGTGTGTTAGTATTAGTTTCTCTAACTAAAAAAGTAACAGACTCCATATGCTGTAAAATGGAGTAATAGCTATACTTTGTGAACCTTTTACATTTGATTTAGTCTCTTTTATACAAACTAACAATTTATTCCTACTACAAACAATTGAACCATACTTGATCCACTATAATATTCAGTATACCCATTGGGTGATGCATTATCTTGATAACCTGGAAGTTCCTACTCTCACTAGTGCAGCTTATCACTGTTTAAAATTAAAATAATAGTTTATAGATCCTTTAAAGGCCTTATTTGCATGTATCTATACCATCTTGGTTTGGAAGGGAACACACTGTGAACACACTGCTAACGTTTTGGCATTTTAAAATGTTGCTTAATTAATTTTTGTTTCATTCTTAGGTTTACTATTTCCGACAAGGTCATGAAGCATATGTTGTAATGGCTAAAAAGAATAAAATATATAGCATTAATCCAAAAAAACAGCCGTGGCATAAAATGGAGCTACGGGTATGATATTTCTTAACTTTTCCCATTTTTGTTGTCTTTAAAATAAGTCATAGAAAATAACTTTTATATACATGTTGTTTGACAAAAAGTGTTCGTCGTTTTGCTGACAGAATCTTTTTAAAACTGATATTTTTAACTTGGTGTTTAAAATGATTTATTAAGATTAAAAAAATGTAATGATTGCCCAAGAAGTTTTAAACAGGAATAAATAAATATTTTAAAGTTATGATTGTAGTAACTTAATTGATTACTGAGAAGGATGAAACAAAAAATCCTAGACCTGTGATTGATGTTCATGTATCAATCTGATTTATTTTTTTAACCCTTGTTAAAAGTGTGTTGCAGTGAAAAATTAAGTTTCTAAACAATTCGATACAATGAGGTTATATTGGGGAATTGCAACTTTTTGGTTTCATGGAGTAAATTCGAAAGGTCTGTATTTGACCTAGTAATTTTGTTTACATAGTTCACCACTGAAATCTGTTGTTCAACAGAAGTATATTCACTTTTTTCATTTCATACTTCTGTTACAGTCCTCTTATATTCAACCACATAAAATAAGCATGTTTTATTTACTTCAGGAACAAGAGCTGATGAAAATAGTTGGGATTAAATATGAAGTGGGATTGCCTACTCTCTGCTGTCTCAAACTTGCTTTTCTTGACCCAGATACTGGTAAACTGACTGGAGGATCATTCACCATGAAGTAAGGGAAGCATTATTTCTGTTCCAATAGGGAAACTGTTTTTTGTCATATTTAAAACCTTTTAAATTTGCTAAATTTTAAAGAGAAGTTTTATTTTTAAACAGAAATTTTCTGTGACATAAATTTAAGATGTTTATATTGAATTCAGATGCATTAAATGCATTTTGATATCGAACAATGTTTTCTGTATTCTGTTGCTGCTTTTTCACCTTAATCATTCTTTTTCCATTTTGATTGCAACTAGGTACCATGATATGCCAGATGTTATAGATTTCCTAGTCTTGCGGCAGCAGTTTGATGATGCAAAACACAGACGATGGAATATAGGTAGGTGGTGGGTTTTGTAAAAAGTTAAAGAAATGGTTTCATTCAGGTTGAATGAATTTCATTAGGAAACATGGCAAAGTGGGTGAAAATAAAGTATTATGCCGGAATCAGAGAGCAAGATCTACTGTTCTTTAGAGAGATGCAGTGCTTACTGCTGCTGCAGAATTAAACTTTGCCACTGAACACAATTACATGTGAAAAAAAATAAGAGTTTAAAGGTGACCTGCAAAAGAAGATAACATGTTTTCCTTTTATCTTATAAATATCAGGAATATCACATCTTGTCTTCCCTTACTTGCTCAAGGACCCTTTGTAGGACTAAAGAACTAAGCTAGAACTGTCTTCTCTCAATTGAAATGTTGACTTTCATAAAGAGAACTTTTGTTAGAAGTTTGAATTAAATAGGTATTTTAAGAAAATCAGACTTTTTAAGAATATATAAAAAAAATTCCATCCTGCCTCAGTTGCTCAGGTTTCAGTCTCTTGTGATGTCATAGTTCTACTAGTCTTTTAAGGACTCCTCCAGTAAAAATAGGGAAGACAAAATCTAATACTTGTTTGGTTTGGTTTTGTTTTTAAAGCATGAAAAAAGGCTATTCCCGATCTTTCCTTCTTTGAGGGCTTCTGTTCCGAGTTGTGAGATGGCACTCCTTGACAGCAAGCTTGGGGGACTCTCTTCATAGCAGAGTCATTTGGGGGATGTGAACACACCTCCTTGTAGTGTTGAATGTTCAAGATCACATAAAGGAAGTGCATCCTCTTCCTCCAACCGTTTCAGTTTCCTTCATCTGTGACACAGTGAGCAGAAGGGACTCTCCGTTGTATGTGTTGTTACCTAGCCCCACTGGGTTTAGCTAGCCCAGTGGTTCTCAATGTATTTACCATTTTGGCTGCATATGCATATCTCGGTGTGTTATGTGGGCCACATCTACCCCCCCCCCCCCCCAAAAAAAAAGTTTAGTATTTATTATACAGCAATAAGATTCAAATCAATATAGTACCTTTCATTTCAACACTGGCAAATGTCTGCCAAGAGCATTTTAAATTAGCAAAATAAGGCAAAACATTAACTGTTAACATTAATTCATTTACTATAAGGGTGGCATGGCGTGGTGTATTGCCACCAGCAGCATGGCTGGGCTGAGCACCCAGGGGCGGGCTGTGGAGCCTGCCTGCAAAGATGGGGAGTCCTGCCCGGTGTGGGTTGTCCCCCCAGCCAGGGACTGTCCCCCATGCACCCAGTCCCCCCACCCAGGGGATTGCCTCCTAGCCCTTCCCCACACTGTCCTCCCCAGCCCGGGAATTCCCCCCATCACCCGACCCCCCTGGGACTGTCCCCCCAGCAGTTGCACACACACCCTAGCACCCTGCACACACACCCCCTCGTGCCCATTGGTCTCCTACCTCAGCTGCACATAGCTCAGCCATGCAGCTCACCTTTCACTGCAGTCCTAGTGCCTCCAGGGATCCTGCTCCAGCCTGGGTCACTGGACCCGTGATCCTGCAGGGTGGGGGTCGCTGAGTATCCTGGCTTCCTGATGCTGCTGGGCCTGATCCTGCGCTGCCCCATTTTTGCACCCTCCCGCCAGCTCTGCACCCAGAGTAGATCCCTTCCTGCCCCACCCTAGTTATGGCCCTGAGGATGTTACATGGACCACAGCTGTGTGCTGATTAGGGCACAAATGGCCCATGGGCTGCGGAGTTGAGAACGACTGAGCTAGCCCAAATTGTACCATTTTTATAACTTTTGGTTTTTAATCTTTGTGTGTGTTTATTTATTTATTTATTTATTTATTCCTCCGCAATGCCTGTTGCATGGTTATTTCCAGTCACTGGGTGCTGGGACCATCCATGATGAGTATCCCGTCAGATAGATACTCACACACCTACCTCTCTTCAGAGATCCTTCTCACAAAAAAATACTTCCGGAAGAAGAGGATTCCCTCATCACAAAAGGAGCCTTAGAGAAAGTACTATTTTCGGTACTTTCGCATTCCCAAGCAGGTGGACGGTCTCAGACCTGTCCTGGACCTCAGGAGGCTAAACAAGTACCATAATATCTGAAGAATACAGGGTGTTCATGTTGGCTGTAATCTTACCCTGTTACAAGGAGACTGGTACATAACACCTCTGACCTTTCTGGAGTTTCTCTGAGTGCACCCCATCAAGTGTCAGTCCCTGCACCTTGACTTCTCTTCTGGTGAATAAATAAATATTTGTTTTAAACCTGCTGCCCATTAATTTATTTGGTGGCCCCTAGTTCTTATATTATGGGAACAAGTAAATGATTTTCCTTATTCACTTTCTCCACACCACTCATGATTTTATATACCTCTATCATATCTCCCCTTAGTCTCCTCTTTTCCAAGCTGAAAAGTCCTAGCATCTTTAATCTCTCCTCATATGGGACCCGTTCCAAACCCCTAATCATTTTAGTTTCCCTTCTCTGAACCTTTTCTAATGCCAATATATCTTTTTTGAGATGAGGAGACCACATCTGTGTGCAGTATTCAAGATGTGGGCATACCATAGATTTATATAAGGGCAATAAGATATTCTCCGTCTTATTATTTATCCCTTTTTTAATGATTCCTAACATCCTGTTTGCTTTTTTGACTGCCACTGCATGGATGTCTTTAGAGAACTATCCACGATGACTCCAAGATTTCTTTCCTGATTAGTTGTAGCTAAATTAGCCCCTATCATATTGTTTGTATAGCTGGGGTTATTTTTTCCAATGTGCATTACTTTACATTTATCCACATCAAATTTCATTTGCCATTTTGTTGCCCAATCACTTAGTTTTGTGAGATCTTTTTGAAGTTCTTCAGGGTCTGCTTTGGTCTTAACTATCTTGAGCAGTTTAGTATCATCTGCAAACTTTGCCACCTCACTGTTTACCCCTTTCTCCAGATCATTTATGAATAAGTTGAATAGGATTGGTCCTAGGATTGGTCCTAGAATTGACCCTTGGGGAACACCACTAGTTACCCCTCTCCATTCTGAAAATTTACCATTTATTCCTACGCTTTAATCCCTATATTTTAACCAGTTCTCAATCCATGAAAGGATCTTCCCTCTTATCCCATGGCAACTTAATTTACGTAAAAGCCTTTGGTGAGGGACCTTGTCTTTCAGAACTCGTAGGTGAATGCCATCTGGTCCCAGTGACTTGTTACTGTTAAGTTTATCAATTAATTCCAAAACCTCCTCTAGTGATACTTCAATCTGTGACAATTCCTCAGATTTGTCACCTACAAAGGATGACTCAGGTTTGGGAATCTTCCTAATATCCTCAGCTGTGAAGACTGATTATACAAATAGTATAATCATAATCAGCAAATCATCATCATTTCATAAACATTTTACATGCCACATTGTACAAAAAGTGTTTCAAATGTATAATAGTGGTTTCTACAATAATCTATATAGTCATATTTTAATCAAATAACGTCACACCAGTCAGGATACATTAGCCACAAATTATTACAGATCAACTCCATGTTCTTCACACATGGCTCTTAATTTAAAGGACACCTGTTTCCATGTGGCCATCAGGTTGACACACTGCAACTACCTGAGGTTCTGTATGGGACAGAGACATTACCAGTACAAAGTACTTCCCTTTGATCTGTCCATAGCCCCATTTCCGTTCACTCTGGATTAGGGCATGTATTGATTGAGTTTTGCTACAATCTAGCAAGGGTGTTAGTACTTCCTGGGCTAAAGCCCATTCCACCAGGTCCAGTGAAACTTTTGTGGCATGTTTTAGGCAGGTGCCCATAATGGAGATTAGTATAGCAGCCACTTGAAGTTCAGTCTAAACTTTCATCAAGCACTACTCTTTAGAATCAGCATTGTGCTCTGATAGTCAATTTGGGGAAACTGTGCTACAATCCATATTTCCTTGAGAACTTCTACCTTCCAGCTGGGTAGACTGCTCGCTAGTCTCCTCGCAAGTGGGAATGCACAGACGCATTAGAGATAGGTTGGTATACAAAGTTTAGTGTTTGCTGGACTTTGAGGAAATTTGTATTTGAGAGGAGGAAACATAGGAACCTTCTAAAGTAAGAAATCCTATTGAGAACAATAGGTATAACATATGTGAGTTTATATATATTAGAATTAAAGATATTAAAAAATTAAACTGTCTTCCACTGCTATAAGCTTGAAAAATGTTGTAACATGTTCTAATATACATGTAAATTATACTGATTGCTGATTTTTATATGCTCATTACCTATATTTTTTCTGATATCCTACACAACTTAATATAAGTTTTTTCTAAAGAGTGCCCTTTATTGTTGTTTTAAGGGTGTATCCGTCTAAATACTCTTTATATTTGTTTATTGACACAGAGATCTCCAAAGAATGACTACCATGAAGATTAGGCAAATGTGGTGTAGAAATTGGTAAAAGAATAGGACTGTGACAACAAAGTACTTTTTTTAATGAGATTGTTTTGTATTGTCCAGGTGATCGTTTCAGGTCAGTAATAGATGATGCTTGGTGGTTTGGAACAATTGAAAGCCAGGAACCTCTACAGCCTGAATATCCTGACAGTTTATTTCAGTGCTACAATGTCTGGTTAGCAAATTTGATCTTACTTACGCTTTTAATAAATCTTTTTAATCTTGCATAGCAAACACTGATTTAGGTGATTTGGCTCCTTTAATTGCAGTAATAAAACTTATTATAAAGTGTGTTCATTAGTAATAAAATAAACATTACATATAAGAGTAATATATTTTTAACTGTTTAAGCAGTACTAATTACTATAATTTAAACTCCATTAATTTTTTCTTTAAGCTGGGACAATGGTGACACTGAGAAGATGAGTCCTTGGGATATGGAGCTCATACCAAATAATGGTGTGTAAGTGTGTAGATGTGTTATCTTGATTTAGAAGTATAGAAAGCATATCTTACGCAAATAGTTTTTAAAAATTAAGGATACCGAGTATGTTTCTCTATAAAATGCCAGAAAAAAGAAACAATTAAATAAGAATCATAAAAACCATTGAAATATAAATTCATGCTTAAATCACTAAATTACAAATATACATCTATTAAAATGAGCCTGATCTGTGATTGGAGTAACTGGATACATAATCATGTCAATATCATTAATGGAAAAAAGCCTAAGAGTTTGCTAATGAGTAGGACCCCTGGAAATTCATAGGATTCTGTAATTTCCCTGTTCTCCGTGCAGGAAAGTAATGTTTTGTTATTATTTTTCCTGTGGAAACAGAACAAAATCACTCAAGAATTGAACAGATGGCATTTCGCCTGGCCCACATACAAGCTAGAAGGAACAGATGAACCTGCTCCCCCACTAGGTTCAGTGGAAATTGCATGCTAGAGAGACCGGTTGTCCCTGCAATGCACTCACTAATCCTATACACACAAAGTGTTTGGGGGCAAATTGGCAATGGGGACTTATTCCCCCTCTGGTCCGGCTATCCAAGGTAGGAATTGTGGCAGCTGAAGTGCATGCTCTCCAGTGGGCCCACTAGCATTATTTCTTCTGTCCATCCACACCCTACTGGGCTACCACACTCTGAGCTGGATTTTTTTAAAATTAGTTAAAAACTGAATATAATTTGGAATATTTTTTTTGTTTTCTGGGATATTTATTGATGACTTTGCTTTGCTATCTATAAACTATTTGTGTTTTCTTTCTCAATGTAGAACTATGACTCAGTTCAGCCTACTGTACATATTTTGTTACAATTATTTATTATTTCAATATGTTTATTCATTTACTCATTATTTGGTTTTAAAGAATAAAGTACCTCTCCCAGGCTCTTGCTACCTCTTAGACATAATTAAAAGTACAGTAACACACAAGGTAAAACCAGCAACATCTCTAATACCAAAATGTAAAATATCCATCCAACCACAAACCCAAACATCCCAAGAATCTCCTGCTACACCTACAAAAACTTACCCTCTTGCACTTTCCCTGCCCAAAAGTCTGCAGTGTGCCCTGAAAATCAACAGATTCTGGCTAATTTTTATCAAATCAGGGTATTAATTCCAAAGTCAAATGCCCTCAAGAGAATGCCCTGATGGTAGCTTCTCTTCTATGTCTCACGGGCTCCAGTTCAAGAACCTCCACTTACCGCAGCAATGGAAGAAGGAGAAAGGCAATTTTCAAAATAGGCAGATCTCAAGAGCTATATAGGTTAAAACCATTATTTATAAACTCTACCTGAAAACCTATAAAGCACCACTACAGTTCCCAGAACATAGTTAAATTATCAATATATTTAAAAAATTTCACATGCTACAGAACTACCCTTGTTTACTGCAAAAATACATTATCCCACAAACTGACTGTAAGTCTGCAAGTCTAGTAAATAGAAAATCCACAAAATTCTGGCAGGATCCAGCATGCTGCATTCTGGAAAACACATTTGTTAGCTGGTAACAATATACATGAAGCATGTAAGACCCTGGAACAGTATCAAAGCATTGTTGTCTTTTGCACAAAGAACTACACATCTTACACTTTTATTCAGTAAAACAATGTTACTCTATATACTGCCTATATTAATTACTCTATGTTTTTAATAGACACATGTCTGTCTTGAAATATGAACAGATGAATATTTTTCAGTGATCATCCTGGTCTTTTTATGGGATATTTCAGCTGTGTTTCCTGAAGAGCTGGGAACTAGTGTTCCTTTAACTGATGTTGAATGCCGAACATTGATCTACAAACCTCTGGATGGAGAATGGGGTTCCAGAACCCGGGATGAGGAATGTGACAGAATTATTGCAGGGATAAACCAGCTCATGACTCTAGGTAAACATTTGTGATTGAATAATTTAAGAAACATTCAGTATGGAAGCTAACTTTCATAGGAAGGGATGATAGGCATTTTTATGAGAACACCACAATCCACAAAATTAGTAAATGCTGTCATTGATCAACTGCAATAGTCATAAAATCACTACTTGAATTATTACCTTATAAAAAAAAGAAAATATTTTGTTCACAACATGACATATCTACATAGTGCCTTTAGTATACGGTCTGACCCAAACTTTCAAAGGTGACTAGTGATTTTGAGTGTTTCAATTTTTGAACATGTAACTTGAAAGACCTTGAAGAGCTTGATTTTCAGAAAGTACTGAACACTTGCCCTTGAAAATCAAGTCCGGTTTATGATATCTCAAATTGAGCACCCAAAATCACTTGCTAGTGTTGAAAATGGAGGCACCCTATGTTGAATAGAAAAGCTGTAACTTCATTTTGAACAGATAGCAAAAAGTATGTATTTGTTTTGTTTTCCTAGAGAACGTTACAATGAATACCTGTACTTGGGATTTTTCCTAACTAAGCTGCTGTGTACTGCAGACATCATTTTTCTTTTCTTTGGGTTGTGAGGAGAATGGATGTGTAATTTATTGGCTAGCAAATGGTTCACCATGAGTTTACCACTTGTGGGGACAAATGCCGATATATATTGGCAGCTTCTGAACAGTGTAACACTATAAATTCTTTCTACATACACATCACTAATTCTGTCCTTAACATAGTCAAAGGTATGCATATATATAACTTTGGTCTTGTGATAAGATGGCTTTGGTCTTGTGATAAGATGGCTTTTGAAATTTGCATAGTTAATTTTCATGTGTCTATATGGTACTTAAACAAATGTGTGAACTATTACAAACAAAAATTTGGTTTAACAGGGATTAAGATTGGTTAAATGTGACACCTTGGTGGTACCTGAATGTTTATACAGCATGTTTTCTTTGATGGGGACACACTGCATTTTCACAAGAAACTACCTTCTGCCCTCAACAAATAAGGAAACACACTACACATAACTCATTAATCTCCCTCTTTCAGAATAATGTAAAACATTAATTACAAAAGGAGTTAGCAATTTAGCAAATACCAGCAGTAATATGTGCAGTATGTTATGTGCTTTTGGAGAAAGTATGAGGTTGTAATTAAGGTTTCCACTACTGTGCCTCCATAGTAAGAGTAATGGTATATTTAAATTATTTTAGCTGGTTCTTTTCATATTCTGTTCAAGTTTTGTTTTTTTAACTACTACTATTGTTGCTTGTTTTGTATAAAGGTTCAATTTACTGTAGCAATCTTAAGAGTAGATTTTTAACTGCAATAAACCATTCTGTTTCACCTTTTTCTTAGAAGGCCAGCTCATCTAGCAACTAATTTTTGTCAATTCTTGTTTTTAAAAATATATTTTAAATATATTTTAGAGTTTAAATTTTGGTACTTATTTTTTTCATTCCTTCCCCTATAAAATCAGGTATTGTAAGAACCATAAGTCCAGTTGTACAAGTGGAGGGAAAGAAAAATAGTCTATGAAGCCTTCACTTGTTTGAATTCCATTATACTCTGGCATATTGTTTTTTCTGCTTGTATCATATTTGTCTTTGTCCTAAATTCCTTGTAAATTCCTCTGGGCAGGGATTACAGCTTTTATAGTAACAGTCTAAAGAATTGCTTTACACATTAAAATTTGAGAACTTTGAAGATGAGGGAGTGGTAATGCAGGGGTTCTCAACCTTTTTCTTGCCGAGGCCCCCCTCAACATGCTATACAAACGCTTCAGTCCCCCACTGCTCCTGGCTTGGGGGGGGGGAAGGGGGGAGGAGGGTAGGTTTGCCAGTTTCAGCCGCATGTCACTTCTGGCTTGGGGGTCGGCCGCGGGCTTCAGCCCTGCAATGCTCCAGACTGGGGAGGGAGGGCGACTGGTTTCAGCCATGGAACTCCACAGCCCCCCCGAAAGGGCTCGCAGACCCCCGGTTGAGAACCACTGTGGTAATGTAAAGATTAATTAAGTGATATTTTTCCAAAGCAGAGTGAGTCAGAAGTACACCAGTTAATATTTTGGAATTGCATATTTTGAATTATATAACTTACAGATTGTATCTGTAACAAAGTAATTCTCTTTATATATATATATATAAGGACTGCTTCTCAGAGTGCAGTCCTTCATGCACAGAGGGATGGCTCTGATTAATCACTACAGTAATCATGCTTATGGCATAGATTCATAGATTACTAGGACTGGAAGGGACCTCGAGAGGTCATCGAGTCCAGTCCCCTGCCCTCATGGCAGGACC